ACTTTGCAGCTGAAAATCACTGAGGGTCCCAGTTGGCAGTGATGATGGAAGATCTTGTGATAACAAAACCAGTGGTGGGACAACGTTTGTAATTTCTAACTGAGTGCCTTGCAGCCTTGCCCTGAAAACCCCACTGTCCCCAGGTTCTGCCAGCTGGAGGGAGCAGCAGAGACACCACCATAAATATTAAGTGCTGCTCCAGAGTGTTTGGTGATGTTTGTAGGTGGCTGCTCACATGCATTCGTGTCTGGGCTGGTGAGCAGCAGTGAAGGGGAGGGGACTGAGGGAGGAGGAGAAAATACAGTGTAGGCCCTGACCTGTTATGAGATGTTCAGAGTTATTTTTAAAATAAGACCATTCAGTAACTCAAAATTGCAAATACTAGGAAGAGGTGGAGCTTTCCAGCAGCATCCTGTGATGGCCAGGGGGCCCTTGTTCTGCAGAACCTCCCAGTGTCACCATGCTGACTCCCTCTTTGCTCTCCTAAGGACCAGCTGTGCCCAACAAAGAGAGTCAGGGAGCAAAAGAAAGGCTAAAAGTCTGTGCTGTAGCTGGGAAGGAAGTTTAGGATGGCGATGTTGGGAGGCAAATCTCTTCCACGTGATCTCCATCCCAAGCGTATCTCTTGTGCCAGTGTGTTGCTAGTTCCCGTGTTGGCTCAGGATCTCAGCAGCCAGCCTTTCAAGGGATGCAGGCCATCCGATGTGGTCCGGTTCCAGAACACGATCCTAGAGATGGTCTTGTATTATAAAGAGCCCCTGCGTGCACACAGGCTGTTGATCTACCTGTCGTGAGCCTACTGTTGCTGGCAAGGTAATGGAGATTAGTTGTCCTCTGTGGAGCGGGGATGGAGGAAGGCCTTGGGCCAGCCAGTACAAGCGCCTAATGTCCATGCTCCCCTCCTGGCTCTAGAGAGCTTCTCTGGCCCTGCTCTCCAAGGGGGAGGGCTCGCTGAGGGGTAAGCTGTGCTGCAACTGCTGCGGAGCAGCATGTGCAATCATGCCAACATATGTAAGCGTCTGTCTGACCCAGCGGGTATGAATTGTTCATGGGTAGCCAGAGACAGTGGGGAAAGCTCCTCTTACCACCCCCACTCTGACTAGCATCCTTGTGATGCCCAGGGGGTGGCAAGGGGCAAAGCTTGATGTCACTTCTTGGCACTCCACAAGGACATTATTCAAAGAGACCGTGACCTCTCCTGGCATAGAGCATTTGCCAGAGACCTCCCACCCCATGTCTGTGGCAAATCAAATGATGTGTTGCAGGAGAGGAGGGTTGGGACTCGGCCATCCATCATGGACCTGCTGACCGCACAGAAAAGCTGCCAGGAAGCTTCAGTCAGTCCTCAGAGGCATCTGTAGTTTAGTCCTGGGGTGTCATCTTACTCATCCATTAGCAAGTACTAACCATAGCTCCATCCATGAGCACATTAATAGTTGCCTGGCCTGGACCAGCCCTAATTAAGTCTGAAGAGTGGTTTCTATTCAAAGCCCTTGTTCAAATGTGTTTTTCCAGTCTCTCACCTTCCCAGCTGAGACTTCAGGGGCTCAGGGTGTTTTTTTTTTTCCTTCCCTTTAGCTGTTTCAGTGGTTCACCAGTTTAAAAACGTGACAGAGCTGCAGGACACCCAACCAGAGTTTGTCCCTGATCAACACATTGAGAGGATTTTATTATCTTTTCTTTTCCTCCCCGACAGCTCAAGTGCCAAGGTAGCTCAGGTAGAAAGCTGCAAACCGCAGGAATTAATCTTCACTGACAAAGGCATCCCTGCTAAGGACTGGTCTGGATTGGAGGATGTGCTTGAAGCTGCAGACTCTATGAGCAGGGACACTCCCAGGTGAGCTTGGAAAGATGTGGATTGCAGCAGGGCATATACCACCACTGCAGTGACAGATTGCAGCAGGTTGTATATTTGCCATGGGGCAGAGTTAAGGTTACGTAGGCTTGTTTTTCAGGCATGACAACGCATGTGTAGTGGCGCAGCCCTTGTTGTCAGAGACTTTGGAGAGTGAGAGCAGAAGCTGCATGGCCAATCTGCAGAGATCTGCCTCTGTCTTCCAGGCTGCTCTGCAGGGCTGACAAGTTTCTTCAGCTTGGAGGCTACTTGCTGCAGCCCCCGTCCTCAGCTCGTGCAAGCCAGTCTACTGCCACTGATTTCAGTGGGTCATGGGTCAGCATTAGTTTATCCCAGTTGACTCCAGGCTCCAGCCCTTGACCTCAGCTGACTTCCTTGGCACATCTTCTCCCCTTTGGTCTGCCTGGCCCCCTGCTTTCTCTGCCTTGCAGACCCCAAGCTCCATGTCCAGCTTTCCTCTGCTGTCGTGGCCATCATCTCAGCCAAGGCTTACACTGGGCCTTGCCTGCTGACTAATGTATCTTTTGAAAAGAGAGAGTCTGGTATGCTCTCCCACTTCCTAATGCTTGTTTCAGCTCCTGTCAGGTCTTGAAAGGGGGTGTCTTCTCTATACTTGCATGCTGTTTGGTCTCAAAGGTCTATGCAACCACTTGTGGCCTTTGCTCTGCCCCCTCCAGCCTCCCTTTCCACCCTATAGGTTTCGTGGTACCAGTGCTAAGATTCCTGGGGCCTTTGGTGTACGTTTGATGTCTGCATCACTGAGTGTACCAGCAGAGGACTTTGTTGGCAGGCCTACTGCCTGGGATATAATCCTCTCTGGAAGGCCTGTCTCTCTCTGTTGACCAAAAGAGGAGCTAAAGTGAATTTCCTGAGAGCACCCTCCTAATTTCTGTGTGGCAAGGGAAGCTGCCTCCTTTGTATCTGGGCAAGCAGCACTTTCATGGGGGGCTCTGGCCTTGGCTGTTTTCTTTAAGACCAGCTGCACTATAGGCAACACTGAGGGAAGCAGCCAGGGCTTTTCAAAATTATAAGCCAAGCAGTCTTGCTGGGAGGATGTATTTATTCAGCAAAGCTGGTAACTGCGGTGATCAAGTCTGAGTATCAGACTGATGGTCTCAGCTCCATTCAAGGTCTGAGGAATATTTGCCAGACCTTTAGGACCATCTCTGAGAGTCTTGGCAACAAATTAAAGTTTGGCTGCAAGATTGCCTAATGCCAGAAAATCACCAGGCTGGATCTGCAAAGGGGTCAGGCTAGCCCCAGCCGGCATGGATGCCTGCTTCAGCATTAACCTCCTTCAGAGCCATCTGTCGTGAGAGCTACAGTGGATGCCGATGACCACAGCTCTTGGGCTGATTCTACCTATTTTGGGACCATACTGTGCTCCCTCTATGCATGGCAGAGGCAGAAGTGCTCTGTCAGTGCAGGTGCCATGAGTGTGGGGGGACTGTAGCACTCATGGGAGACTGGAAGCATCCTAGATGATCATGTGAGGGATGACTCATGGGCTAATGAGGAGCAATTAGTGTCTTAAGTCTCAGCTGGTGCTACTCAGGGAATGACGTAACAGTTGTTGCAATGCTCTCTTGAGTGGCCATTGCTGCTGCAGGTGGTGGGAACTCCAAGAGTGAAAAAGGAAGGTGGGGGGGCCGGGGCCCCCCCCCCTTCGAGCTGCTGGCTGAACTTTTCTCTTGCAGTCCATTTGCCCCCATTCTTAGCTCTGCTGAAAGGCGGACCTACAGGAAAGGCTGAATGTGGTGGATACCCCCTGGCTGTCTGAAGGCAGAAGGAACAGTGGGTTCTCCTGGAAGGATGTAGGAGGCAGTGCATGGCTAAGACCTTTGAGATGTCTGTACTTAGGCCGCACTTCACTGTTTGAAAGCCTTGTACTAGAAACCCGAGACATTCACCTCTAATATTTTGACAGATTAGGCACAGCCCTTTACTGGCTCTGTGGATTATTCTTCTGATTCCCTATCCTTTGCTAATGTGGAAGCTGTAAGGAAGTGGCTGGCCTGATGAACGTTCAAGGTTTATGGTTTACGCTATTTGTGAAGTTATTGGACTTTGGAGCTGAATTCTAGTTCAAGCCTCCTCGAAGCTGTTGGCCAAGCAAGCCTTTTCTGCTGGGCTGCACTTTGGTTGTTTACCCCACAACTCTCCATAAGATGGCATCTGCAGTTGCTTCTTGTCTAGTCAGCTGTGAAAGCCTGAGCCTCTGAGCTGGTGTCTCCAAATGCTATCTGTTCCTCATAACCATTGGCTTGCACTCTGGGGTCTCTCTTCATGGCCTGATCCACAATGGGCTTGGTTGGATCTCCAGATCTTCAGCGCAAATGCCAGTTCCTGGTCTTGGCTCTGACCATTGGCTTGGAGACATGAAGGGCTGGGTACAGGCCTGACTTCCTCATTGGGAGGAGGAGGAGAGGTATTCTAACCTGCCTGTCCCCATGGGGCATAGGATCCTGCTCTTCCCTCCACTTCTCAGACAGAGCTGCACAGAGCACGGCTCTGCCCTGGCTGAATCTTCTCTGTTTGCTGTCATGTAGGAAACAGCACTCTGCCCACCACTGTGACACTGACAGGACAGCCAGATGCCTGCTGGCTCCAGGCAGGGGAGATGAGATCTGTGTGTGTGTGCATGCATGCACAAGCCTGGGTGCACGCGTGTTTCCTCTTTCTATGGGCGACGAGGACTTGGCAGCTTGCCCAGGACAAACTTTGACCCTGCCCAGTGCCGGGCCTGTGAATGTCTGTGAACTGCCCCTTGGGCAAATGTAGACATGAATTCCTTAGGCAATTGCTGTGTTTCTGGGGAGAAGGTATTGCCCAAAGCCCTGCTCTCACTGTCCCGGGAAGTGCCTAATGAAATGCCACCACGTGGCCTAATATGCTTTTAATCTTCCATGATGGAGACAAAGCAGGTAGGTGACTGGGTCCGTTAACTTGGAGAGAAGCGTGAGCCAATAAAGCTGCTGGAGAATCTCTGCTGTGGAACAGGATCCCTGTCCAGAGTTGGATCTACTGCGAGCTGAGCCCACCATTGCAGAGGACTTTGCTGAGTTGCTCGCCCTTTCTTGTGTGCAGAAAGGGTTTGAGATCTGAGCCAAAGCCAGGTGCTTTGACACACCTCTCTTTTTCACAGCACCCTCGATTAAGGCGCTGCTGGTGCCTCAGGACGGCCTCAGGACGGCTTTTCCATGGGCACGGGGGAGATTCCTCAGCTCGCATCTCTCCAGACAGGTTGCTGAGTGCAAGGCAAGCCTTCAAAGCCCTGAAGCAGGAGAAACGATTGCTTTCACTCTGGCCAAATTCTCACAAGTTGAACAGACAGACGTGAGTATTCAAAGCCCCCTGAAGCTTCCTATCCAATTTTAACTGACATCTCTTGGAGTCTAGCCCAAGCTGTTCTTCTAAATGTTGGGTTCTCTGTCCCCCCCAACAGCTCCCTTTTATTCCACACAGGAAATTGAGGAGGGTGGAAATTCCTCCCAAGTTTTCCCAGGCCTTTCCACAAACAAGACAAGAGGGCCTCTAGATGGCAATGTTACTGTTCAGGAGTCCGGCAGCGGGTTTTCAGAAGTGCTGTGCCGCTCCCCTATGCACCTAGCTTTGGAGAAGTGCTGAGATTTATGCTGGGCTGAAGTGGATGGCTTAGCATCCTGCTGCTTCTTATCGTTTCCGTAGTGAAAGTAGCTTGGTTTTTGCAACCTCAGGAGAGCAGTGGTCTAGCAGGCTGGACAACAGTTTTCTGGCTGCTTTTCCCTCCAGATGATTAAATTAGCTTAGGCTTGATTGCTCCATCCTCCTTCAGGCAACTGTCCTGCTGGTCTGGGAGGTACAGGGTTTTCTGGAGGTGATGAGAATCCCATGATTTGACTGGGAGCTGCTGGTGAAGTGATTGCCATTATTGATGCTCAGCTTGTTTTCCATGTGTGCTAGAGGACGACAGATAGAGAGATTGCTCCCCTCTGTGAGAGGAGTCGGTTCCCTTTGATACAGTCAGTGTGTGGAGGGAGCACATGTGAAAACAGGGTCATGCCATTTGGCTGGCGCCCTCCTTCCTGCCTCTGAGCACTGCAGCATGCAGCACACGTAGACTGGGATCCCAGAGCATTTCCCCCTTACTGTCCTCAACAGAGCTGGCAGGAAAACAGCCCCTTTCCAAGGAGGCATCTCTCTGAGGAGAGATGAGAAGAAGCAAGCACCATGTTTTAAAATAAATAAATAAATAAATAAATCTGAGCAAGGGATCAGGCAACCGGTTCATGCATATTACAGCTCCTCAGAGTTTTACGAATTCAGGTATACCCTCCTCCTTTGAGGACTGTTTCTGTCTTGTGGACCACAAAATAGGGGTAGACCAAGCTCTTGCTTGAACTTGGCTTGTCTGAAGACTGACATGGTGTTAATGGCTGACTTAGGATCTGGGGCTGCATTCACTTCAGTTTTTGGTCATGATTTGGGCTAACTCTTGCCCTGGACTTCACCTGGTTGTGCCTGTATGCTTCAAGCCTGGTGTGGGTTTGGAAGTGGTTGGTATATGGCCAGAAACACCATATTTTTGAGGCTGTGGCCCTGAAATGTTGGAAGATTTAAAGTCAGGGTGTCAAGGCCTGGTGATAGATATAGGCAAAGGAAACTGGTGCTCCAGGGGGTTGTGGTGGTGTTTCTTCCTTGGAAAGGCCTAGCTGTCTGGCTACTACCACTGAGGAAAGGGTTGAGGTGTGTGGCACAGTGTTTCCTATGCCCTTGTCAAGAGTGGGAGTAGCAAGCCCTGCTCCTGAGTCTCTTCCCTTGCTCTCCATCCCTTCCCTTTCCCCTTTGCGTGGCTTGACTGGCCTGGCCCTCCCAGCCCTGGCCTCTCACCCTGGGCTGCTCACGCTCTGCTTTGCCGCTGCTGCAGAGGCTGCAGTTAGTCCCAATTGGTGGACTGACACTGGTGCCAGGGAGCGTAGGGCTGTGTGTAAGGCCTTGCCGGGGGCTGCAGGAGCTGCTGATCGTTTCCCAGCTTTGTAAGAGCAGAGGAGAAATCCTCCCTGTCACTCTGTGCTTCGTTTCCCTCTGTATAAAAGACAGTGATCCTCTTTCTTGCTTTTTTTGAGTTAATGCTGAAGGGGAGAGACTGGCTCTTTTTTGGTGTTTTTTTTTCCCCTGACTTGGATAATAATTGTCACTTCGGGGTTGGCGTACTTATGCCAGGACTCTCTAATCCACCGAGGGGCCTTCAACCCTGGCCTAAAATGACTGCAGAAGCAGGTCTGGGCTGTGCTTCCTCAGTGCGTTTCGATGTATTCAAGGCCGTGTTAGAGCTATCTCTTGTTTCCAGCCTATGCAGAGCTTTTTCTGCCAGTCCTGCACCTGCAGCGCTGTGAAGACGGCTATAGTCATGCTGCAGTGGGCATGGACAATTGATTATAACTGGTCATAGATTACCTGGAGCAATGCTATTAAATTTAATACAGTTCTCCACTGCCTCTTTGGGCACAGCCTTGGGTTGTGTAACTGACATCTTGTTGCAAAGCATTTTGGGGACATTGCTAGGGGCGTGAGGCAAAGAGATTCAGCTGCAAAGCGGGAGAAGAAGATGAGTTTCTGTTGAGATTTATTTCCTACCCGATAATTGCCCGGAAAGGCTGTGTAAACCTTCTCTGTTTGTGGAACAAATATTGCAAGAGTTACTGCTCTGACCTTTTTTTTTTTTTTTTTCCCCTTTCCTTTTCCACTGGACAATTGTCTGTGCCCTTGTTATTCAGAAGCCTTGATATGCTGCTGGCAGATTTATGCCTTGCTGAAACCCACCTCTTATTGCCTCTGAGTTGATTGGAAGAAGGGAAACTTGTTCACTAAAAAATAAACCTACTGCCATATGCCCTGCATGCCAAGTTAGGGTTGAAGTTTAAAAGTACAGTTTGGAGCACTGACCTCTTTTCGTTGCCAGCTCCTTATCCTCTGTCACTGTGTCATCTGTGAAAGGCAGATGACCAGCTCTGAGCAGGATCACCACTGGATTTAGGCAGAAGTAGGATTCTTTATTCACAACCCATACTGTGATGCAGCGAGGCCATTGTGAGCTGTGGGTTTGATGTGTCCCAAGGGAAGGGCTGTTCAGTGCTCAAATCCTGCCCTGGCTTAACAGAAGCTTATGGCAAATCCCCATGTGAACATTCTCACATTGATTTGGCTGCTGCTAAATTTGGGAATAAATCCACCTTTCTTGGCAGCGGTAGTAAATCTGATGAGGCGTGTGCAGCGGGGGTTTGGAGTCCATTGTAAAATGCACTTAGTTTGTGTGTGGTTTGGGGCTTGCCCATGCTGAAGAGGAGCCAGCGCTAAAGCCCTCTGGAACAAACCTCTGCGTTGAAATGCTGTTCTCGGTGAGATCCCAACAGTTTGTTAGTGCTTTCCGGGGGCCTTCGTAGCTCTGTAAGCCTCTGATAGTGATGATAAGTGTCCCTCTGCTCTCTGTATCAACACAGAGCTGGTAAGCCGGCAGGGGTTGTATGGTAGCCAGACAGCCTGGAGAGGCTGTATGAAGGCCACTTAGAGTCACTGATCCTCCCCTTGGATGCTGCACAAGAGCAGATGTCACTTGCAAAACCAGCCTCAGATCCTCTTCAGTTTTGAGTGGCTGTACAGGGCCGGTGTTTCCTCCACACTGCTGCTGCTGAGGCTGTTTGGAACCTGCATCCGCCTCCACCCTCGATGCTGGCTGCCAGAGAACAGCCTCGTCCAAGCAGAGGTGGTTCTGCCCGTAAGTTTTATTCCTGGTGCTGTGGGATCTTTGGTACCCAGTAAATCAGCCTGCCTTAGAAAGTCTGTCTTGTGGGTGTGTTTCTCCTCGCATACAGTCCTGTTGGAGGCTGATGGTATTTTACTGAGTGTCTGAGCAGAGAATCAGGCCCCGTATGTATGCATGCACTTCCTGCAGGTGACAGGAGAGCAGAGGGTGTGCGTTTTAATCAGTGTGTGGGCAGCTCTGCTGATGCTGTTTGTCAGCTGGAATCCCAGCACAGGGCTTTGCAGCACCAGTCGTGGGTTCTTTTTTGCCTTCTGTCACATATGGAGGGAGGGAAGATGTAGCTGAGTCTTGCAATAGTAGGTCAAAACACACTGCAGCACTGAAGATCAGAGCAAAAGCTTTCTTGTACAAACGCATGGTTTTATTCATCCCGTTATTTTCTTTATCAAATGCTTACTTGCCTTTACAGAGCGGCTTTCAGCCCTAGGGAAAGCTAACTTCTTATTGGAGGAGGAGCTGGGCTAGTGGCTAGAGTGGGGCACAGTTATGGAAGACAGATGATCTGGACTGTTATTCCTGGCTGTGCTCTGGCCTGGAGTATGACCTTGGCAAAAGTCGCTCTGCCCCTGGCCTCTTGTCCTCCAGATCTCTGTTAAGACCGCAAGAAATGGAGAGCAGGGACTGTCTCTCACTGCACGTGCATACAGCACAAAGCATGGTAGGACCCGCAGAGCATCCTTGGCATGGCCAGAAATGCTAGTCATGACAATAGTGCTATGAACCACAATTGCAGTGCTACTGGAATACAGCTGTTTCTGGGTAGGTAGCAATCTGGTCAGGGTACAGCCTAGTTAGGATACTAGAGGAAGCAGTTTTATTCAGACAGAGCATTGCCTGGGAATCTTAAATGTCCAGGCATGCAGCAGACAGCTTATTTTTAAGGTCTCATTTGAAAGATGTCAGCTCCCCCTCCCTGCTCTTCCCCAGGCAGCAAGAGCAGAAAACTAAATTTATCTGCATCGGGACAGAAAGAGCTGGAGTAAACCTGCCAGGCACTGCTCCAGATATGCTGGGTAGAACAAACGGCATGCAGCTCTCTGCCTGTCCGTGACAGAGATGCTCAGGGTGCTGCTCGTGCTGGGGTGGCAGTGAGAATCGCACAGGGTTTTCCATTCCAGCTTCTGGGTTTCAGAGGACCAGAATTTGCTGAGAAGTTTGTCTTGTGGGGTGACTTTTTATCTGACTCAGTCCCTAAGGTAATTTATTTTTCACATGTGAGGCAAAGCAGTCCCTCGGCTTTCGGGGAGAAAGGCGAGGAGTTACATGTCTTACTTTCCTCCCAAGACGGTGCAAGGACCCCAGCGTGGAAACGGTGCTGGAGAAGAGGTTGAAGCATAGTCTGGGAAGAGCCCTCGTTGCTTAGTGACTTTTGAATATCCTGCAGGCAGTACGTAGGTGTGGGATTTGTAAGGGTCTAAGGGATTCGATATTGTAAACTTGCCATTAGCCCGGCTGGTTTGTGGTGCTGGTCCACGGCTCCCTTTTTGGGGATATTAACTGGCACAGATCGATGGAGAGGAACACAGGGCAGATGTGTTGAATAATGGGTCTGTGCAGCACTGGCTTCGTAAAGAAGAGACTTTTGAAGGCGAGTCTCTTCCTGGGGCTGTCTAGGGGAAGCCCTGCCTCCAAGGGCAGGCAAGAATGGGGTGGGATCCATGCTGCTTTTTCACCTCCTTTCAAAAGCGGAGCATCCATCTCTGTCAGGATGCTGCTAATGAGTTACTTAAACAGCATCTCCTTACTGGAAACTCTTTTCAGTCCAATTAAGATCTTGCAATGTGTCAGTTGTGACAATAAAAGTGAATTAAGTCTCATTTCTCCTTTTTTACGATGTTTATTAGAAGATGAGAATGCTCATTTAGAGGAGCTAATCATGGTTATTTATATGTCAGCACCAAGAAGCCCCTGCTCAGACTAGGGACCTGTTGTGCCAGTTACTGTATGCACCCACGGACAGAAGCAGAGCCTGCCCCCGGGAACGGACTGACCGTGCAGAGGGAGGCCAGCTACTCCCATGGTAGCGCAGCCCAAGCTCAGTTCCCCAGCGGCAGGGTCTCCTGCTTTTTGGGGTATACTTTGGGAGTCACTGAAGCCAGTCTAGAGGCCTAGTCTCTAGAGGTCTATCTCTACCACTCTGCTTAGCAAAGATCTCTCTGAGCAGCGGAATCTTTCCTTTGCCTACTTGTCCTCCTCCTTGTAATACCTCTGCCTTTGTCAACAGGTCCCAGAAGTACTGGGGAGCATGTGCTGGGGGAAATAGATGGACAGGCACATTGTACAACTGTATAAACCTCTTTTCCTGAGGAAGCAAGGGTAGAAGTAAAAACTGAAAGCTTTAACTCTGGAGCACAGCTCAGCAGGAAGGGTAGATTGTGTCAAGGGACATTTCTGACAGTCCTGTGGATCCCTTTTGTTTCACACCAACTCTGTGTTCCTCACCCCCCAGGCTTTTGTTTACAGGCAAGGAGGAGAATGCTTCTCTCATCTCCTCTCTTGAGCTCTTTTGATTCAGGGGCTCGGCCAAGACTTAAAGCAAGCTTTTCCAGGGGCCTGGGCTGCTAGTCAAGATGTTTTCCAACACAGCTAACGGGACGAGAGAGTTATTATTTTATTGCCGTGAGGGACCCAGGCAGGAGGATAGAATGGAAAAGGCCTGTAGGAAGGCTGAGTGAACCAGCTTGTTTTCAAGGAGGGTTTGGGTTTGTGCTTCTCAAAACAGGTTATTTCCATCTTTAGCTGATCAAGCTTAAAGGACCCTGCAGCTACAAACAGATATCCAAGCATACAGAAGTACAGGATCTGAGAAACAGTCCAGGAAGGAGAGAGCCGTGTGCCGAACTGCTGAGCCAAGACCAGAGTCAACCCTGAGCCCTCCTCACTACAAGGCAGACCCCACACCATCGCTGGAGGAAGGGGTAAGGATCTGGTCCCTGTTGCCTTGGGGTTTGGCAGGGTCACATGGGGAGGAATGCACTTCAAGCAGACTTTGCTGGATGTAGATTTAGGGGGAAATGTTGAAGGCAGGAAGCTGAGTTGTTCTGTGGGTCGCTGCTGATCCATGCTGTGATCAGTCATTTGTAACAGCTTTTGGGTGCTGGACTCTCTCCCTATGCACGGTCATTGCAGATGCCAAGAGGGAGCCTAGAAAAAGGCTCTCTGGGACTGGCAGACAGCCTCTGTGCTCTGTTTAGTTCCTTAAGTCCTATCCCTGATGGCCTGCTCAGCTCTGCTCTCATATCCATGATCATGGATGTGATCCTGCTTCCTCCCACCTTGTGCTAGACAAGCTTCCAGTTTGGGCTTGGCCTTTCTCCTAGCCTGTGTTTTGGACTTCCAGATGTCTGACTTTCCGCCTGGCCCTTGGGTTCCTTTGTCAGGACTTTTTGCTTTGTGACGTTGACTCTCATGAGTGCAGTCCTGGCTCATGATCTTCCTCTGGCTCTAGCCTGGCTTAAACTCAAGACTTGGGTTGCCTATGAAAGTCATCGTGTCGAGCGCAAATGGGCTGGCTGTGAAGATTGCATTAGAGATGCAAATGGGGAGAGTCAGGAGAGAAAGGGCTGCAGCAGGATGTGCTGGCTGGTTCCCTAATTCCCTCAGCAGGACCACCCTCTCTTTCCAGCTTATTTGGGTTGGGGTGAGCAGGCAGCAGCCAGTCCACGTGGGGCTGGCGTTTGGATGGCTGTGAGCCTGGGTGCTTTCTTTGGAATGACACCAGCTCCTGACAGAGCAGCATGTGCTATCCCGGCCCTCCTCACTTTGCGCGAGTAGGGACAGTATTGAGAGAGCCGAGATTTCAAAGCAGGACCAAAGCTATCCTTCTTCCCCTGATGCAGAGAGAAAAAATGAGAGGGTACCTTGGTCTGGGGAGGTAGGACAGGGAATGCCCTGCTATGCCTTAGAGGTCTGTCTGTTCCCTCACAAAATGTGCTTTGGGAAACACAGGAGGAATTGGCAAAGCCTGATTTCAGAGGTACCTGCTATCTGCATTGCTTGCATACAGTTAGCCCAGAGCTGACCCTGAGGCCTGGAGCCCTCCAGAGAGGAGGGAAAGGCCCTACACTCAGCACCTCAGCATGGACGCAGTGGTTTGTACAGCCTGAATGGGCAGGATAAGTGCTGAGCAAATTGTCTGGTGCACACCTTGGGCTGGGCTCTTCCACAGTACCACATGGGTGCTTTGTACTGGAGCTCCGGCTCTGTGAGCCTGCTTTGAGGCAAGCAACCTGCCTTACTGTGTTAGAGTGGGCTGAACCTCTGTAATGAAGGGAAAGTGTTTGACATTATACTTCTTCCTCAGTCCCGCAGCTGTTGATGGTTTGAAGTTAAGAAAACACTTAAATGATTAAAAAAAAATAGCCTAGGTTTATCAAGGGAGTTTCTAATGAGCAGAAGAAGGGGGAACAGAAGCAGGAAGGGCAGCAGAGACTAACAGCCTGGCAGAGCGCTTGTCATCTTGACAACACAATAAGTTTCAAACTGGGCTCACTCCTGACGTTTGCCTGAAGGTATATTTAACTAGTGCGGGAGATGCTGGAGTAGAAGTGTGCACCTTTAAGCCTGAGGAAGCCTCAGTGGGGAGCTAGTGGTGTTATGGGGAGGGGGAAGATCTCCTCCAATTGTAAAATGTGCATCCCTCCCTCCCTGTCTCTGTGTAGCCAGACTGAAAGGCTATGCTAACAGCTTGGCAAGAGGGGATGCTAATGAAGCGTGAACCGGCTGTGTTCAGTGGCAGCTCCCATGCTATCTGCCACCAGTTCACTTGCCTGTCTGCCCAGTTCGTTCTTTCATTCTTTCTTTATTTGCATGTTGTATCTTGTGTTTGACGAATGGAAATTTGGTCATCTTTTTGAAGCAGGAGGCATTGTGAACAAGTGGAGAGTGGGAGCTGAAATTTTCCTTTTCCTGGGCTATGCTAAATGTTGAAGAATGTGAAAGGAACCTCAGGACAGTTTATAGTCTTTGGGACCAGGGGGTTGATTGAAGCCCCTGAGTTATGCAGGTTCAGTAGGGTGCCAAGAAGGGGCTTTTGCGTGGCTCCTAGCTCTGCTCAGAAATCCATACTACTTTTTTTTTTTTTTTTTTTAAGTCCTTGACCACAGGACTTGGAGTTCAAGGAGGAAAAAGGACCCTTGTCCATGTGATGCTGTCAACGTCCAGATGGACCAAAACCAGCACAGCTCTGCCCCTTTCTCAGTGGGGGTTTGGCCTCTGCCGTTTTGCTCTCTACACGTTGCCTGTGCTGATGCTATTTCATATTTCACTTGCCTCTGCTCAGAAGGAGGAGTGTTAGCCCCCACACAGCCCGTGCCAATATTCCCAAGAGCAGACAGCATCAGAGAAGGTGAGCAGTCCTGATGTGCAAGCCCTCAAGGCCGGGTGACTGCGCTATGCTAGCCCCAAACTGCCTGACTCAGAATCCTCCATGCTCCAGAGCTGCTGCTGCTGCTTCACCTTCCCTCACCATACCCTGTGCCATGGGGGTTTCTGAAACCTAGGTATAAGCTGTGCTTTCCCTAAATCCTAAGATGTACCTAAAACCCCAGGCTCGTGTCTTGCATCTACGTTATATGAGCGCAGGAATGGAAGGCATCCTCTCTCCGAACTTGCCTGCACTGAAATAGGCCAGGCAGCCACACGAGAACAGCACATTTTATTCCTTCCTGCTTGCACGGATCGTGGGTGAGAAAGCAAAGGGATCTGGTCTTGTGTGGTGAGGCTTTTATGTGGCAGCAATTAAAGTGGACCCACTGGGGTTGAACACCGGATGTGTTTGGTTGTCTTTTAGCAAGTAGCTTTTTGGCATTTCAAACCTTTCCAAGAAGCCAACACAAATTCGGAAGCAGAGCAAGCTGGGATGAGGCAGGCAGTGCTGTGAGCAAAGGGTGAAGCTTGCTTTTTTTTGTGTGCCCACGCTCGAGAGCTAGACAGATGCCTTGGAAAGAAAGGCCTAGGGAAGCGTAGCAGCCACTGGGTAGATACCCAGCAGCCAGCGTCTTCTCATGCCAGCTCGTGTGTTCAAAGATGGATGCTAAAAGGGGCTGACTCTGTCCTTCCACAGGCTAGCGAGACCTGCAAGAGCCCCACCACCCTCCGTACAGCGGGGAGGAAGGTACTTTGGGCAGTTTCTAATCTGGCACATGAGATGTGGGTCATGCAATGAATGCAGCGGGTCTGTTGCCTTGCTAGTGGGAATCTGGGATTTTCCTCCTGTGGCTTGTGTCATATCCTTAAGCATCTCATGGTGCATCAACTGTCCGTGCAAATAAAAGGCAGAAACATCCAGATGGGTTGCTTTGCTTACTGTGCAAACACAAGCCCCGGGTGGGGCATGGCTTATTCTCCCTCCTTGGCAAGCCAGGATCCACGGGGAGGTTATGAAGGTGTTTGGTACTGCAGAAGTTGGTTCCTTCTCTAAAACTTCGCTGCAGGGCTTGCGCTCTTGCTGTTCAGAGCCATGTTTCTGTTAATGGGTGGACTCGTTAAAATCTGTGGTGAAATACTTGGTCTTTAAATCCATTCAGTAACCTAGGCTGAGAGAGAAAACAGATTGCAAGGACTCTCTCCCCTAGTTCTTGTTGTGTTGCTGCCATTTGTTTACTAGCTTAGACCCTAATTGTTAATAAAAACCCACCAATCTGAGCTTGCAGGTGCCTTAGCTGTATGTAATAAAAACTGTACTTGTGCTAGCGCCACGGAACAAAGGCAGCAGCCTTCCAAGATGAATTACAGTAGAGGAAACGGAAGTACAACATTAGAAACTGGAGTGGAGGCCCTGTCCAGGAGTCTTGTCTAGAACCAGGTATGTGTGGATGTGAGGGGAAGGGGCTGAGACCAGGGATGTTAGTCCAAGCTTGTCTCTTGCAGCAGTGTGGCTCGATCTTCCTTTCCAGGTTGATTTAAAGATATGGGAAAATGTTGATGCTCTTCCCATGGGAGAGGCTTGCTGAGGTCTTTAGCTGGTACAAATTGATCTCTGACTCACAAAACACCCTTTGGGGACATAACTTCGATAGCAACCTTCCCTCCAAAGTTTGGTGCAATTTCCTTTTCTTCCAGCCACACACTTGCCCCTTTTCACCATGAAAACAAAAGCTGTGACAGCCTGGGAGCTGATCTCCACCTCCTGTGTCCCAGCTGTTGTGCCCTCATTCAGAAAACCATGAGTCATCAGCTCTCTGCTCCACCAATGTTGTAATTTCCCTCCTCCCTTCTCTCCCCCCTCCCCCCAACCTAGCTGGGATGAAGAAGCGAGAAAGCAAATAGGAATAAATACCTCCAGCCATAAAAGTGAAATAAATCAATACCTCTCCTCTGAAGCCAGAGATGCTTAATAGGCAAGGATCACTGCCAGATTGTAAAAAATGTGTTTGGTGTGCGGCTGGGGCAAGTTTAACCCTTGGACATAAACAGCTGAGCAGCCTTTCTCACCTCTGAGTTAAATAACTTTAACTGTGGAGGGCTATGATTAATAGAGGTACCTCTGGATGGGATGTGCCAGGTATTTTGTGCCTGTGGATCATCTGGGCGATTGGAGAAGTGGTTATCAGGCCCCTTCTGTGGGCACAGTGGCACTTTTCTCTGAGAAGGAATAGCTCTATTTGCTGGTAAGGTAGCTCCTGAAGGACTGTGCTAAGCTGGTGGGACTTCAGCCATCTCTCCCGTTTACAGACGTTTCCAGATCTCCAGCCTGCCCTTTTGTGATGGGAATGCAGAGGAGGAAAACTAGAGTGGCAGGTAACCCTATCTAAACAAACTCTGTTCTGCCCATGCTGAAGAGCCAAGGGAAATTTAGTTGTGTGGAGGCATGTCTAGGTGTCTTCTCAACACACAGGATGAGGATGTATAGGTATCACCATGCTGAGGGCCTAAGAACAGTTGTTCTGAGCCTGGGAGGGATAATCCATTTCAGGGG